TGCATTTGTCGCATAGCTCGTCCCAACTGAAGAACACGGAATCTACAACAACAAAATCAAGATTAAATGGGTAGGGTTCATAGTAATTGGTGTGCACTGCGGCACTTGACCAATGCCTTTTCCCCTTCCCCATGTTCAGGCCCTTCCCTGAAGGGGCAGCTTCGCTGCGGGCCTTAGAAACTGCCGCGGCCTCGGCTTGGTCTAACTCATACTGCGGCTCCCACGATTCCACATTTGCGCCCACAGATTTGCCTCTGGCGCTGTGGTCTCTGTGGGGGGTGCCATCAACAAACGCTCCAGGTCCCTTACTACCTCCAACCTTCCCTTAAATTCCCCATTATCCTCAAAGTAAAAGAGCCTGGCCCAAGCTTTGATGTCGGCTTTAAACTCATCGCCGTCAACAGGCTCCATGAGGGTAAGGGTTTTCCATAAAATGGTGAGGCGGGACTGGGCGTTGTGGTCGGGATGACTATTTACACATGACAACAAAACTCTAAGCGGGCTTTCGAGCTTTCTTTGCCATTGAGGCGAACAGGGGGCTACTTTGACGTGGTGCCCCCTCACCGGTGTCGACTCGTCAGTGTAAACTGGGCTGCCCATGCCGCCTCCGTAAGTTTCCAGAAATGCCAAACGGAGGTCGTAGGCCCTGAACGTTAGGAGGGTCATGCCTGACCAGAAATCACCACCTGCAGGGACCGTCACGGGGTCTGTCGCCAACACCTGTAGGTATCTCTTCACCTCCTGGGCGTTGTGGTCGTTGATTATTCCTCGATCCTTGCAGTATGTGGCTACCTTGGGGGTGTTTTGAAGCATCCACCCAAGCATATACTCTCTGTCAGGGGGGCTGAGTCCCTGTGGCCAGCCAGTGGTGGGCAGCTGCACACCGCATGCGTGCTTCTGGGCCATGCGGTTATCGGCACTCATCCACGACAGCTCACGTCGGACGTTGAACAAATTGTTGTTCAACGCCTTCAAACCCGTCTCCAGCTGAACGATGAGCGAGAAGCACTCTGGGCGAATGACTTGCTCATGATACGCCCTCATCGTGGCAAACAACTCACGATTGTTTGCCACTGGCTGGTCCAGCCACTGGTTGACTGCAGCCTTGTCCTGGGGGTTAATCCCAAGTGCTGCGACCGTGACCTCCAGTGCTGCATCCGGCTCGAGGTTGAAGGGCTGGAGGAGACCCGGCTTCTCGGGCGTTGTGGTCGAGGCATCGACTTCCATCTCCTGCTCTTGCTCCACCGGCGTTGTGAGGTTGCTGTGCTGTGGTGTCGGTGCGCTACGTTTGCCGTGGCTGTTGCGCCAGTAGAGCTCCTGCACGGCCTGATACTGGTCGCTCGCGTAAACCGTCCGAGTCCGGTCCAGCTGTTCGCCGGCTGTGCCTGAAACTGCCCTCACAGAGGTTGACGGGTTCGAGGCCATGGCTTCCACGCAAAGGCGTTGTGGTCAAGGCTTGCACCTAATTTGCAAAAGACTGGGCGTGCACACCTGCAGTGCAAACTTGCAGCCGAAGCGCCTAGGCTTTGGGGTTTAGGCTTTGGGGTTTCGGGTGTGGGGTTGGGGTTTAGGGTGTAGGGTTTAGGGCTTAGGGCCTATATACACTGACCTAAGCCTGCCTGCCATTGATCCTGCTCTATTACAAGGAAAAGCCCCCCTATATCACCATCAAGATGAGGTGATTCCTGCCACGGGTACACCCAAAAAGGGATTCCTAATTTATGGAAATGACTTCATTGAAACTGCCATATGAAACATAGCCTAAACTCCTAGTATCCCTCTTAGTAACCCCTAAAATACTCCCCTATACAATGCCGTATACCACTCCTTTAAGGAGTTTAGACGATAGCCCATATATTCCCTGTTACACCAACAACTATCTCCGTCTCAGAGAAGGCTTGCGCCGGCTGCGGTGCAGCCCCGATCAGCGCAGCCGCCGCACCTCATCACTTACCGGCGGCAAGTAGGGAATCGGTCATAACAAGGGTATAGGGTATACCTAGGGTTCAGGGTTCTAACAATCTTTCAGCGGGGAAAAGAAAATCAAAACTACAGCATCATGCAGGGTTGAGGCTCCGCATGGAAGGACGCAAGATAGGCACTCTCCATGGCAGTATAAAAAAGGCTACTGCAGGGAGCATTGCCGATGTCCTACTAGCTGAACCCTAAACCCGAAGTGATGAATGGTGACAATAAGGCTTTGCCATTACTGCGAGACTAAGGCTATGAGGTTCAGGGCTTAGGACTTAGCCTGCAGGATCTGGGGTTTAGGGTCATAGAGGTTGGAAGTTACCATAAATGACCTGAGTGCTATTCCTAAATAGTCCAGCTTCTACTCCCAGTCCTGAACAACAAATCCTACGGAGCAGGATATGACTGTGCGCTTGAAGGACCTGCGCAGAGTGGAGTTTCCACTGACAGGAAGCAATTCTGGAAAGATTCTCACAGAAGCAGATGCATGCTTCTTGCGGTAGTAGCCTCGGCATCTTCGACGACGCTCAACACAAATAACTTCTGTGTATTCTACTCATAGATTTGTTTTCGTCTTCTCCCTTCCTTTTGATGCAGCCGGCAGATTCCTGACAACAACCAACCCAAACCCTCCAAAGCTGCAACCTACCTGATTAAAATCAAGCTCGGGCACCAGAGGTGTACACTGCCTCAGCACGAGAAGGTAGAGGGTTCTCTAAGCATCCAACACGGATCTCATTTAGAGGGGAAGTGAGCGTGAAAGCAAGGGAGGGGATCAACAGCGTTTGGAGTGGCTACGGAATGAAGGACATCCTCTCAACACACAGAAAAAGATTGCGGAACAAACCGACCCCCATCGACATTCCCAAAAAAGAAAACCCTTGTCACATTGACTGATTTGACTGGCCGCGCGGAACAAAAGACCAGGTGAAACAAGCACATGGCAAGAGCACAGAAACATTCCTTCGTGGTCACGCGCGGAGCAACATCTTGGAAACTCACCCTAAACCCTAAACGTAAACCCTAAGGTACAGTGCTGTGCTCTGGAGGTACTCCCGCAGCTGCGCAGGCTCTCAATGCTTCCCACTCAGCAATGTCAAGTTCAACGTGGTAATCTTCCGGAGCAGGGAGTTCGGAACATGTGCAAGACCACTGCAAATCATCTGAAGCCTATATGCTACAGCCAATGAACGGCGTGCGCACATGCTTGCGTGATGCTTCTCCCAATCTCTCAGACAGTGAATAACGAGATCTCCAAATTCCCATCCTTCTCACCAAAGACCATTGAAAACTTGGGGTTCAGAGTTTACGATTAAAGGTTTAGGGTCTAGGGTCAGGAAGAATAACGTGCAGCTCCCGAACATGCACCGACAGAATGTCACCACACGAACCTTTGCACACAACGCACAGAAGCCTTCTGCTAAATCACATCCTCCTCAAAAAATCACAAATCTAGGTAACATCCAGAAATCCTGAAGGAAAGAACTTCAGAGTGCCCTTCAGCTCCCAGGATCACTTTTGGCCCAGATGCTGCTCCACCCCTCAGAGATGTCTCCACTTTGTTTGCGGCGGGCCTTGCGCGCATCTAAAGAGAAGCCTCCTGTTCTAGCGCCCACCTCTTCTACAGCAGAATGTGCCAAACTTACCAAGGGGCTTTCTGCACGACTCAGGTGCCGGAAGCCTAAACTCCTAGTATCCCCCTAATAACCCCCCTGTAATGCTCCCCTATATAATCCCCTACATAACCCCCCTTTAAGGAGCTAACAGCCTTGGACTGCTCGTCAAGTAGATTGGGGTATTTAGGATCTTATTATGCTTTGGGTCAATTCCATACTCTATCTACATGAGGGAAACCCTGAACCCTAAACTCTCAAGACCTCCAACATCCCACATTCGATGGCTTTCAATCAAGTCGAAGCGGCACAAAGGCCGGGAGAAGGGTCATGAAGACCGCGACGACGGCCAGAGGCCTGGGCTGGTATTCTTATTTGGAGGCTTCCCAAAATTAGGGGTCCCCTAATTTTGGGTGTCCCTAGATAAATGCTCATTTGGGGTTTCCCAACATTAGGGGTCCCCTTTTGGGTGTACTAGAGCAAAGATCATCGTATAGAAGATACCATATTTCTACCTGCAAAAGTGAGAGCGTGTCCAGACTTCAAGGTTAAGATTTTGGGCTGGTCATATTTACAAGGATAACGCGCCAAATTCGAATGCAAAACTCACACCGCTAAGGCATACAAACACAGCTGCCGCTCAGAACCATCTCCGAGCACTAATGGCACTGGAAGATGACAATTCATGATGACCACAATCCAACGAAGTCCCCACAAAGACGATTGCACAGGACTACAAGCTTCAGCGTCAACGTGTGTAGGACCAGCTGCATTGAACGACTGCTAGTTGCTGACTGATCTGTGTACATTCTCAGGGGATTTGCGGAAACTTGCTTATTTTGATTTTAGGTCCAAGAGACATGGATGTTCTTTCTACGGCCATTTCTGGGAGGCGAAATGTGCTCTCCAAACGGAGCGTGCGTAAGACCCCTTTCGCAGAGACTAACACTCCAGACTAAACTTACAGCGGAGCCTCTACCTCTCAAAGCGCCAGCCCTAATCGCACCGAATGACCTTGACAGACAGCCAAATAGCTAAGCAGCATCAGAGTGGTCGCAGATCGGAGCGCCATCTTCCAAACCTCAAGTCTTCTGTGCGGGCTAATACATGCCAAGACTGAACGAGTGAATATTGAAACAACGCTAAATCTGGAGCCAGCCAGCGCTCAGAGATCGCTGCCAAAATATATTCCAGCCGACATGTGAAGCAAAATTTGGATGCTGAAGTTATGCTTTTGAGCTGCAGCATGATGAGAGGATGTGCGTCCGCAAATCCAATTGCAGCCATGAAAGCATGCGAAGCAACGTCGCAGTTTTCCACCGCACCCCGTGAGGGCTTCTGCTCAAAACGTTTCATGTCGAGTCTCTTGGGGATACGGGCCGTGGTCCTTCAAGGTGGAGGGATCCTACCCTCCTCAATGCTAGAACAACTTTTACCAGAACACTACTCAAGCGCAGTCTTCAGGCTGTATTCACTTGCCGCTCGGCCTCTTTAAAGCGATGCCATAGCTATTGCCATTTGAATATGGCAGACAAAAAAGCACCAAATTGTGAACCTGCAAGTGCAGCCAAGGCGCTAGCCAAGCACAAGGAGCGACGGAGACTCTGCACAGCTAGTCCGCTGCAGGAGCCGAATTACAAGCAGGGCAGTGTCTTCAACAAGCTTGGGGAGTTTTGGGTTGGGCACGACTCCTGGCTTCAGGTCTAGGGTTTTTGTTTGGGCTGGCAGCCGCAGCCGTTGGGCAGCAATCCACTGTGAGAATCCAACTGGGAAAACATGAATGGGAATATGAGCTGTAGTCTAAACTCCTTAAAGGGGGATATATAGGGGATGATATAGGGGACTACTATAGGGGATATTAAGGGGGATACTAGGAATTTAGACTATAGCTCATATATGAATAGATGGGATGCCGGGAACACACAACAGGCTGAAATTTGGATCGGGCTGCTGCCCATGGCCCTAACATCGATGCCAAGAGCATAAGCAACGATCCAATAATGGCAAGTATCCGTCATGACAGCAATGATCTCAGTCAGATCTCAACCAAGAACTTGTGCAAGAATAGCTTTGAAACTGTTCTCCATATAAATCGCTCTCAGGCCCTTAACCCTAAACCCCACACGCCCTTTTCTTTCCGTCGGACCTCTGCTCGGCACGTTCCGTGTCACAAAAACTACACAGGAGGAGAGCCGCTAGATCTCAGGCTCAGAGCTTGCCGACCTGGGACCACTTACTGGTGCTTGAAGAGGAAGAAGTGGGGGGAGTGAGTATGGGAGCTTCCCAAAATTAGGGGTACCATCTGGGGGTCTCCGGTCTTCTTGTAGTCCTATTATACCACTATGACGTGGTGGGGGGGTCCTCCTAAGGATTCTAACCTGCTATCAAAATGCACATGATTGCGATATCGATGATATCAGAAGTCTCAATTCCCCTATCTGGAACAGAAACTGCCACTTTCAACATGCAATCCTTCCAACATCCAACAGGCAAAGTGCTTCCTTGCATGAAGCCTCAAACATGAATTTCTGCTGTTTTGATCTACCTGTTGGAAACTGTAGCCACAGATGAGTCTTAGCATTGCACTTCCCAACATTTTAAAAATGAATGTAAACATGGAAGGGCAACGCTCGGAAGAACAAAGAATCACAACTACTAGAATTACTAGCCACCATTCTTAATGCACCTGTTTATGATGGTGGTTCGAACTCCCGCCACAATCACACGTCAGCTGTTTGCGGCATGCGGCGTTGAACATTCGGACCAAGCCGGCGATGAAGAAGCCCAAAAAGAAGATGGCGAACACCTGCGAATGCACGATTCTTGGCTCTGCCTGGGAGA